AATACAATTGTAATGGGGTTGTGAAATATACAGAAGCAAAAATACTCACATTTGCCCTGCACTGGCCCTTTAAGGGCAAAAGCCCAGCCCTGAGTGAGGGCTGGGCGTGAAGCCCCAGCTGAGGCAGCTCTGCTAATGAGGGCCCAGCTTGGGGCTAGATAAAGGACGACTCCTGGAGGGAGGGAAAACTGACTGCTGCTCTGTCTGGAGAGCAGTAGGGACCTGACTGCCAGGAAAGCAGGCGGCTTCCTTGAGGTAGAGCAGTGCTGGGGAAGAAAGGCTTTGGCCAAGTAAGCCCCCCAGCTGCAAGACCTGAAGCTACTGGAGCTGCGGGAGGTAGCTATGGCAGGCCGGGCTGCAGGAAGCAGCCATGGGAGGCAGGGCTGTGGGAGGCAGCCACAGTAGGGAGGGGCAACAGGTCCACATCCCTTTGCCAGTGATGAGTGGCCATTACAGACTACAGTCTGCCCCTGGAGGCAGGGGGCTAGATGAAGACTGGCAGTGGGTCACTGAGGCAAGGTGGGAGGCAGCCACAGTAGGGAGGGGCAACAGGTCCACATCCCTTTGCCAGTGATGAGTGGCCATTACAGACTACAGTCTGCCCCTGGAGGCAGGGGGCTAGATGAAGACTGGCAGTGGGTCACTGAGGCAAGGTGGGTACAGAAGAGGTGGGTGTTCCCAGGGAGAACAACTGGGGGGTACCTGGGAGAAGAGAGGACCCTGGAGTGTGCAGTGGAGTAAACAACATTTCTCCCGCCCGCCCCGGAAGGGGGCAGAGAGACTGGAGTGGGCACTGCCGGAGGGCAGTGTCCTGAAGAGGAAGCCGTGGTTAAGGAAGAACCCGGAGTGAGTCCAGCTGGAGGAAAGTGCCCAATGAAACAAGCTAATTCCCCAAGGCAACCAGCTGAAGGCACCATGCTGGTGTGTCTACTCCGTGATACTCCCAAACACAAGCACATAAAAGTATTATCTCACCCCATCCCTATCCACTCTGTCAGGCTCAAAAGCATCTGCCTCCCAGCCTTCAAACCTATTCTTACACTTGAAAATCAGAGACGTACTGTCCAAGAGCGTATTTCTTCCAGCCATATACGAGCTATGATCCAAGGAGGACCAACTTAATGATGAGACTAGATTTTACGTATACACATTCTTTACTTTGGTTTTAGGTTGTGTGTGTAGGGCACTGGGAGATAGTTTAAAGAACATGGCTAACAGTTACCACTATAACATCTTTCTGTTCAGGAAAAAGGGAAGAGCCAATGCCAAGCAGACCTTGTGTTACTGGAGTAGTCCCACATGAAAACATCAAGCAGATTGTGCACCCAGGTCTTGGAAGGCTCCTTTTGAAGTTTCCACTTGTACAGTTCCACCAGCAAGTCTTCCACACTGTGAAGTTCCAGATGGCTCTCAGTACCTGTTACACAGAGAAGACAGAGCCAAGAAGAGGAGAAGGAATGGCTACAACTTTGCCAAAGACATGTAAAATAGAGAAGAAAATATAAACACTCCTTGCAATCTTAAAAAATTAACAAGGGGGCTGTGACCCCTGCTCACTACGCTTGCCAAACCCCTTCTCATAGGGTGTAGGCAACCTTAGTTCTCACCCTAGCAACCAAGGAGGGCTGGGGCTGCAACCGCACCAGCCCGGGCCCCTTCTCCCTCCCTGCCCCCCTCACCTGCAGCCAGGAGCAGCTCGAGGAGAGCTGCCAGCAACTGGCACCCTCAGCGGAATGTGCGATCAGCGCCCCTACCTCCATAGCCCTCAATGGCATAACGTCTTCATTGGGCGCTGCATTAAACGCGGTGCCTTAGACAACTGCTGAGGTTGCCTACATCCACTGGCCCCCCCCTGCCTGCAGCTGTGCCAGCCCAGGTGCTTTCTCCGCCCCACAATCTCTGCCCATATCATCCAGGCCCTTTCTCCTCTCTCCCTCCACCTGGCTTAAACTTAATTCCCACTTCCAATGCTGCAGCCAGGCCTGGCTATGCCCTCCCTATTCCCCCTTCCCCAGGAGGGCCTGACCCAAGCTGTGTGGGGCCCAGCTCCTCCAGGTCGCCAAGAGGGGCTGTGCCCAAGCCCCCAGCTCCAGCTCTCCCCACAGCCACCAGGGGATTGTGCCAGGCTAACGTAGGCCTGGCTCTCTCCCCACAGCCACCAGTGGCTGGGCCGGGCCAGGCCCAGCCAGAGGCCACGCGGCTCCCACGCCCGCCCATCCCGAGCACAAGGAAGGGGCAAGGGGAGAGGCTGTAGGTATGGCTCACGGCTCCCTGGAGCACAGGGGACAAGGGAGGCTACACGGCTGAGGGAGGAGCTGCAGGACACAGAGCAATGCATGATGCCACTCTGTCATTCCACAGGAAAAGTTTTATTTTTTTATATACACACACACACACACACACACGCACACACACACACACACACAGAGAGAGAGAGAGACACACACACACACACACACACACACACACACACACTTCTCACCTGCTTCCTTAGCCATCCATTTCAGACACCAGTTTACTCTGTACCAGTCATCAGACTAAAAAGAAAAAAGTTTCACAATCACATACTCCAGAATACTACAGCTATGGAGTTTAGTTCCACCTACCCCAGCAGTGGGCAAAGGGGCCTCCGTGGGCCGCATCTAGCCCACCAAGCAGGTGGATCCACCTTTCAGTTGCCTTGCCAGTCTCCCGCACTCAGGCCAATTGAGACTTGGGGAGGGGGGAGTGTGCAAAGTCTCCTCCCCCCACACCGAGGATGTGCAGCTGCTAGAGAGAAATCTCCTAGCCATTCCCCTTCTGGAGTGGCCTAGGACCACTTCATAAATTTCTGAAGTGGACCCCTTTTAGAAATTATTGTCCACCCCGATCTACCCCTCTCACCACCACCATTCCTAAAACATCTTCTGCAGCTATTTTAATTCTTGCACAGCACCACTGTCACGCTTCCTAAAAGTTATCCCTGCACCCCAAAGAGATCATTTCTTTGGTTCTCTTCCAATCACCATTCTGTTTTCTTGAAGGCCTGACACCAGGTCTAATTTTTAGGTATAATTTATTTTAAACAGGAATCCAAGGCCCCATATTTCCTACAGTTTGACCTGCTAGCATGGATGGATCCAAATTACAATACAACTTAAAAAATCCCCCTTCAAAAACTTAGTTTTGACCCTTTAAGCAAAGAAAGGCTGAAACATGAAGCATGATGACCTTGCCCTAGGAGCAGTGGAGATGGCAGTAACAGAAATAAAAGATTTAGAAGTATGTGGAAGGCAACTGCATGGGGAGAACAGAAAAGCAGAGAACTATGTATTCTAGACTCCTGAATCCCTACCCCAAAAATAAGTCAGTGGAAAAAAGAATTTAATTCCACTTTTTTAAAAAAGCAGTACAGAATCAAGAGTGGGGGGGGGGGGGGGAGTGAAAACATGGGAAAAGTAGCAAAGAGCATATAATCCCACTCCCCTGCAAGATGGCTATGTTTTAAAAGGGAAAGTGTTTCCTTAGTTATCAGACAGAAATGTAATTACAGATTTTTCTTTAAAGGCTTCTTTAGGCAACTACAATAGAACCATACGTTTTGAAGGTCCGTTCTAACTCGGAGGGGGCTGGATTGTACCTTGCAGTACACAGGTGGCCATCTGCCGCAGTTTGGTTGAACAAATGTGTGAAGTTCATGTAACACAACAGGGTAACCAACTTTTGGGAGCTCAAAACCAGAGATAGGGATCTTGTGAGTGGCATCACCTAATGGAGATTAATGAAGAGAGAAAAATGGAATATGAACAGTCCTTTTTTACATTTTTTTTATTAAGAAACACACACACTTTTCTCCATCCCCAGTCCTACCTACCATCCACAGGTAAAAACTGCAAGATTCATGCACCCACCAGAACCTCACCTTTACCAGGCATCTACTTATTTTCTCCCAAATATCTGGGATGTTCTGTGGTGAGAGTCCTACACTGCTTTAAAGAGAGAGTTACCCAAATATTTTGATAAAGGGAGGGGAGAGCTGGGTTAGGTTTTCTTTTCTAGTTTTTCTTTAATAATGTTACTTTAAAGCTTCTCCCCTATGTGTGTACATAGCTTCTAAAAACATGAATCAAATTCACTGGAATTTTATTTTTTTTCCTAACTGAAAGATGCTAATATAAAGTAACATTGTTAAAGAAAAACTAGGAAAGAAAACCTAACCCAGCTCTCCCCTCCCTTTATCAAAATACTTGGGTAACTCTCTCTTTAAAGTGTGTGTAGGACGCACATAGGGGAGATGCTTTATTTACTACTGAAAAGCAGCCACCTCAGAGTTGGAAATGACAGCTGAGAAGCTACATTGAAGTTACACAGTAGTTTAGGACAGAATTACAAAAGGTCAATACAATTTCATGCGGGAGAGCAGATCATAGCCAACAGAACAGGATTACCTACAATGGATGTTTGGCTAAAATGTAATTATTAGAGAAAAGTGTCAGAGGTTCTTTAATGACTAGTTATTCAGAAAGAAGAGCTTCTAGTCTACAAAAGACACAGAAACATGAAACCCTCCAGGAAGTTTTCCCTAGTACCCATCGCCCTCGGATGTGAGATGCATAGTTCCCATGAAGCATCACAACTCACAGGCAAAGCAAATGTTTAAAGGGCTGGTATACATTAGGGATGTCAACATGTAGTTGACTATATGATTAACCAATAAGCCCAGGCTTATCAGTTAAACTTGTTGACTACATGCATTCCCCCCCTTGCTGCCTGTATATCGGGGGGAAGCAGGAGCCGGTACTGGTGGAAGTTGCATAAAAGCCAGCTCCACGGTGCTGCCTGCCCCATACCGTGCTGCTGTCTCCATCAGAGGAAGCAGTGGCAATGGGAGGACAGGGGAGGCTGCCGCAAAGCAAGTTCTGACCACAGGTGGTCTGAGCTCCCCATGGATAGGGGCCCCAGCCACTGTGGACAGAGGCTGCTTTGCGACATTCCTCCCGCCGCAAGGATGTGAATGACTAGTCAAGTAGTCAACTATCCGATTAGCAAATGCTTATTGAATAGTCAACACAGTAGTCGACTGTAGTCTCAGAAAGAGGCAGCCAAGGGGCGGTGGAGAGTGGGGTGCTTCAAAGCAGCAGCGCCGCGTGGAACCAGGGGCTATACCTAGGGCTCCACGTGGCACTGCCGCTTTGAAACACTGAGTGCAGCCTGGGGCCAGCCGAGGAGTCCCCACACTCCACATGGAGTTTCAAAACAGCAGAGCCGCACAGAGCCCGGGGTCAGTGGGGAAGTCCCTAGCTGACCCAGGGCTCCATGTGGTGCTGCCACTGTGAAATGCTGCAGGGAGCACGAGGTCATCGGGGGACTGCTCTGCTAGCCCTGTGCTCACTGCAGTGCTTTTGCCTTTGAAGTATAGCAACAGCCTTGGGGAGGCACCCTTATCAACTAATTAGTCAAAATTTAACATCCCTACCCTCCACAGCAGCCTCTGTCCACAGGGAGCTTGGACCCCACAGACAAGGGCTGCTGCCACCTTGCACTGCCACCTATGTATCGAGGCAGAAGTGTGGGGCGGCAGTCAGATAGTCTGCATAGGGAGCTGATGTTTAAATTGGCCCCTGCCTGCCACTCCACACAGCTGCCTCTGACACAGAGGCCAGTGGGGTCCCATTGAACTGGCTGGGGGCCCCATCTCCGGGGAATATTGAATAATTGTGTAACCGCTAAGATTTTATGTGGTCACATGACTATTCAATAACCCGATATCTAACATATGTGGAGAACATATGGCAAATGAAATGGCCAAGCCTTGCACACTCCCCTACTTTCCTCCTCTAATACTCACTTGCTGCTTGACAATGAAACCGAAAGCCACGGGGCACCTCTCCTGCAAGAGGGCAGAGAGATAACTCACATTACCAGGCAAGAAATAGATACACACATTCTAAATAATGAATACCTCATTGTGCTATAGTTAACAGCTTTATCATGTGTCCTTGCTTAACTGCAATGAATGCACATTTATTTTTAAAATGTATTTTCTTAGTTATACTCATTTGCTCAAACCCTGAACAACGCTCACATTTTAATACTTGTTGTATACCTGTTTCAGCCCTTATATACACAGATGCAGTTTACTATTAAATCTAATGCACACAATTGTGAAGCATCCCTCATCTACTCAGTAGCATTTTGTCTTCCAGCTGATGGTCAGACAGCTTTATAAAGGATTTTATTTCAAGTACTTTCTCACAAGATTTCTTTTACAATCACAAGCAGTTTGCCTGATGGATCTGTATTAAGGGCTTAGAAGACTGTTTTTCCCTGCTAACCAGAGAAGGGTGGCCAGCAGAGTCATAGTAGTTTAACATTTATTCTTACACTACTCATTAAGCACATTACATAAAACATTATAAAACAATGTGGGCTACATATGTACCTGAAACACTCAATCTCTGGAAATAGGACCATGTCTTATGCTAGAAACTTGAACTGGGCTAAGAGGAATGGGATTAGAAAGTCTCCCACATAACTAAAAGGATGAGTTTCCTCCCCCCAAGTCCCTTAAGGCTCACCAGGATCTATAAAGCGGTGGAAGTCTGCTCTTATGCCATCCTGTAAGGAGTATCTGACACAGCCAATCTCACAAGGGAGGAAGCGCTGCTCACAGGGAGAGGGCAGCTCTCCGCAACTGTAAATGTTCAGGAAGTAGAAGATGTTCCCAAGCACACCTGGAAGAAGAAATCTGCAGGCATCACTAGACAGCGAGCAATACTCATTCCATCCTGGAAGCTTTATTATTTATATTGCAGCAGCACTTATAGGCCCCAATCAAAGATCAAGACCCCACTACGTCAGGCCACACAATTCAGTAAAAGACTCAGGATAACAATTGGACAAAACATACAAATAGGCAGTGGTGTGCGAGAGCACAAGGCAATTGTTCAAAGGACACTTTTCCATCAGACAGGAAATTCTATAGTCACAGTTCACCTCCAGCGTAGTTCCAGAAAGTACTCTATTTTAAGTATTAACAAGGGTTAACAAGAACGCCAGTGGCCTGGAGTCCAACTACCACCACCACTCATGCCTCCCTCCAAAAAAGCTCTCCAACATTTTGTCTCTTGAGGACGGCAAACGTCATGGACACCAGGAACTCTGAAAAGCTCAGTAAGCTTCCAGCAAATCCAGCAGGACGCAGACTGAATTAAGGATATGGCGCTTTTACACTGTAGAGGGGCTAAAAAGAATCACAGAGCCCTAGAAAGAACTCACCTCAGTAAAAAAAAACAGCTCTAGAACATATAACAGGTTACATATGATACAAATCAAGAAACAATGCTCACGGACTTAGCAATAGGTCCAAACTACTAAAATATTGTCTTCTGTCAGTGAAAACTATACATATAGTTGTCACTGAAACATAGGTGAAAGGTATTCCTTTACCCCAGCCTAGCCCATGCCCTCTTCAGTAAGATTCACTGAGTGCCTACACTAGTTTTATGTATCTTGGCTAGCGGCTTGACTGTTTAAAGCATTTTTAAGTGCTATTGTATTATACTAGAGTTTCCCAGAGGGTATGTCTACACTTGCACCCTCTTTCTAAAGAGGGATGCAAATGAAGACGTTTGAAATTGCAAATGAAGCTGGGATTTAAATATCCCGCACTTCATTTGCATATTCACGTTATGGCGCTATTTCTAAACAGACACCGTTAAGACGTGGTTATTTCGAGACAAAACCGTTCTCTTGAAATAACTCTTTTCCCTCATACAGTGAGGTTTACCAGTTATTTCAAGAGAAGGGTTTTCTCTCGAAATAACCACATCTTAACAGGGTCTGTTATTTAGAAATAGCGCTATTTCGAAATAGTGCCATAACGCAAATATGCAAATGAAGCACAGAATATTTAAATCCATTGCAATTTCGAATGTCTTCATTTGCATCCCTCTTTTGAAAGAGGGTGAAAGTGTAGACATACCCAGAGGCAGGGTGAAGTGCACTGTGGCAGCACCCTGAGTGTTTCCTTTGCTGCTAGTCAATGCTGATCAAAGTATCAGTTTTCCACAGAAATGGAGATGGGAAGAGATTGGCTTTTCGGAGTTCTGTTTAATAAGACACTAATCTGCCAATGTTCAAGTACAGCACTGACACAATAGCTTTCTCCCCTGCTAGGCTGTCCTGTTATTCAGTGCAGGCACTGTTCTGAGCTTTCACTCTGACTTGTAAAACTCCTCATCCTGTTCTATTTGACATAAGCACAGATGTAGCCAAAGTCTGGACTAGGCCCTGTACATCCCTAATAAAATGGAAGTTACACTATAAATGCTTTCCTACAACAATTCACTTTAATTGCCTGTAAATGATTGGAGATCAATCAAAGGTCACATTCTGCCCTCAAACATGTACATGCAACTCCCATAAATTCTAAAAGAAACTGTAGCCATACATCTGTGGGCCAAAACTGTCCCAGAATATCATGAACTACTTTTCTATTATGATTTCAGAAGGGCAGCCATGCTAGCCTGTTTCAGCAAAAACACTTCAGACTACAAAAGCTTATGCCCTAATAAAGTTGTTAGTCTCTGAAGTGCCACCAGATTCCTTGCTGTTCTTTCTATTGTGAAACCCTGTTACTGCAGGTCAACTTTTACAATAATAATTTTAACAAAGTTTGTTTTTCCAGATATATTAAATATATTCAGATCTGAATTAAACATGAATTTCCCACTTTCTACAGCTAAAGTCTAAAAGACAGATATAGCATTCCTACTTATGGAAATCAACCACAACTTCAATATCTTTATAATTAAGCATCTTTAGGATTACTTTACCCTGATTTCCATTCCATGCAAGATGGGGGACATCTGGAAGAGAAGCACTTTTCTGTATCTGTGAGGGCAGTGGTGTAGGAACCGGAGAAATCTGATTGGGTGGCTAGAGAAGACAAAAGGAAATTAAATCTGAAGTCCATCAACTCTGCTCCTCTGAAGTCTGAGATGGACTGTAATACAGCTCTTCCCTTGCCCTTTATATAAATGGAATGCAGAACTGCTCTTTCTAAACCCATCTAACTACAGACTGCAGTAAGCGGGCATAATCTACAAATTATGAGCAGGCATGTTTTCTTCTCTTGCACAAAGGAATGCCACTGAGATATTAGTGATGCTCACAACTCATCAAATGGAAATAACTATATCTAAGTCTCTGAATTAATAAAGAATATCTGCAGAAGGGCACTTCATCTATGTTTATATTTGTCACATAAAAGGAAGCTCTCATCTCCCAAATCTACTCATCCTTTTTTCTTACAATGTCACTAACAGTTTTCTGTTTCCCCACCCCAAACTTAAAACGCAAGATGAAGACAATTTCTTTCACTTCAACTTTATATTTCTTTCACATCATGATCATTATTGCATGTTTCAGAAGTTAGAATTACATGAAAGCAGGCAAGTACTGTCCACTCATTTCTACTAGAAGGTACCATCAAGCAGGATTCACAATCTTGGGTCTCCACAAGCCATAAAAAATTCTCATTAGGTTTTTTTACCTTCTCATACACATTTAGGCTGGCTTGAGAGCTTTGTTCCCCAGAGTGTGCTCCAACTTCAGGAATATCAGAGGCATTTAAACTAGCTCTTTTAAAAACAAGGATGTAAGAGCTCCCCAAATTCCAATTATATATAACAAACCCACATATTTCTCCCTTAGTAGGGATATGAAAAGTTAACCAGTTAACCATTAAGCTTCACCCTTAACAGGGGATTCTTACAGGTTCCCATTAACCAGTGGGGGCTGGAGCAGCTCCCTGCCTATGGTGGGCGGGGGCCCCCTGCAGGGGCACTCCAGCCTAGCCACAGCAGACCATCTGTGGTGGGCTGGCAGCAGGTGAGGGTCACTCCAACCCAGACACAGTGGGCCAGGGGTTGCTACAGCCCACCTGGGCAGGAGCACCCTCCTTCTGCCTGCCCCCCCCTTTAATCGGTTAACCATTATGTTTAACTGGTTAACCAACTGAATGGGATTTTACACCCCTAACCCTTACACCAATAATCTTTTTTTTTTTTTTAAATAGTACAGAGGAAATCTACCTTCTCAGAACATTTAATCAACAATGCGAGTTGATTACACGAGTGCTCGCTGTAATGTGTTCTTTGCTCATCATACACACAGCCTCTGTCCACGGTGGGCCCAGGCTTGCCGCAGACAAAGGCTGCTCTGTGGGATGCCAGAGCAGCATCTATCCTCCAGGAGCTTGTGTAATCGGCAGGCTTATTGGTTAATTGTGTAGCTGTCTACACACTGACATCCCTAAGAGAAACTGTGACATCTTTGACAAGGTCACCCACCCATGAAAAGCAGTTGAATGATGACTTGCAGGCAGCTCTAGTGCAGAGCATATGAAGTAGCTTATGGAGCAGATCTCATTCATTTGTAAAGAGGAGGCCATTGAGGACAACGTGATTCAGGCCACTTGCTTGAGCACTTTCTTACTTATAGATTTCAACCTAGAGGATCCAAGGCATCAGAAGAAATTATCTAGTTATGGAGTATTCCTGGGGGAATACTACACCATTGTACATATGTGGGATATATAGTTCCGTATCATAATTTACATAAATTATTAATCTGAGTTCTGTTTTAATATGCAAAGTCCAGAATCTGTCAAAAACATTTCAATTTTCTGTCTGTGTACTTACAGTCATGCCTGCTGACAGATATTTTGAAATAAACTAACAAATATAATTGAAATTGGTGTGATTTTATTGTGTTACTTTGACAAATAACAGTTACAGCATTTGAAAATATTGTGTGCAGAATTTTAATTTTTTGATTGCAGCATTTTTTTGGGGGGTGCAGAATTACCCCAGGAGTATGGATAGATGAAATGAGCAAGATGCCCTGGTACTGGGTGAGGATGCTTTGCTCGACTCAGCTGCTGCTATCAGTTTGGACCACTTGCAAAAAACCTGAGAACCAATTCCACATAAATTGATAAGAAGCTCAAGGACCTCCAAAAGCTTTTTGCTCCTGAATGATGCTAGTACCTCTGACTCCAAGAGTAGCCATCCTATAGATATAGATGTTTCCATTTCCAGAAAATAAGGTGTCTCATATTACTGGTAACTGTCTTCTCTGCTGCTATGACTAGGAAAGTAGACAGCAGTAGTCAAGTTAAAGAGCATTTCATTTCTAGAAGATGACATTGGCAGAGTTTTGATCTATCACGCCATGATCCAGAGACTAATGGTGATAAGCTACAAAGAACTGATCCAGTCTTCCTCATTCCCCTTCCTGCCAGATAAGTAGCAGCTAGAAATGTTTTGCAGGACAGATCCTGCTCCCACATCTTGAAGACCAGCCAATGCAGAAGGCATGATCTAAAGTCTCGTTACCTACTGAAATAACACATTATGATAGTTTTCTTCAAACCACAAGCACCTTTTAGAGATACAGATCTTCTGAAGAAGTGGATTGTGCCCACAAAAGCTCATGATACCATCTACATGTTTTGTTAGTCTCTAAGGTGCTGCAAGACTATTTGTTGTTTTTTAAGTTTTTACAGATCTCTAGAATTACTTTAAGTATTTTCAGAATCATTAATGCATATCAGTGTTCTGGATAACTGCTGTTCCCAGGGAAAGACACATGTCCTAGTAAGAATCAAGGGTACAGTTCACATCATAATTGGAACTCAGCTGTGAGTTACACAAATCAATATGATACTGTCCATAAAGTGAAACTGCAAGTAACAAAGCAGAGCTCTCCTTGGATTGCTCTTTGTTCTGACACACACAAAACTTTTGTGCTACCAATTTAAAATGAAAACAGGTAAGCTATTTGTGGTATGGATCTCATCTTCTTGCATACATATAAAGTGCCACAATAAAAATACCCTCACTTAGTAGACTAAGAAGAAAACCATTATGTCCTGAAAAGGACAATAGTCTACAAAAGAAGTTACACTAGTTTAAATTAAACTTGTTTAGTTAAACTGGTGCAATTTGCCTCTTCTGTTGGCTTAAGTTTATGGACTGCAGTAAATTTAACAATGAAAGCTAAACTGGTATGTAAAGTTTAAAGTAATGTAAATGAATATCCACACAGTTTCATTGACTTAACTAAACTGTTGTGATCACACTATTAGTTCAACTGGTATAACTTTGTAGTTAGACCATCAAACTTTACAGTTACAACCTCAAGTGTATGTTTGACCTACAGCCTTCAGTACTGTCACAAAGTTTCAACATTTCTTGTCAATATGACAGCCCTAATTAAAATCATGCTTCATGCCAAACCCAGAGTAAGGCAGACTGGAGGAAAAGTCGACAGCGCAGCAGAATACTGAATTGCAGGCTCTCTCCTCCATTTAATACAGGCTGTACCTTCCTAAACCAGGACTCTCTAGTCTGGTAGCATCTGCGGTCTGGGACCGGACCACAGATGTTCCTGGTCCAGAAAGCTCGGGTGGCTGGAAGTCAGCAGCAGAAGGGCCAGCAGCCTGGCAGGAGAGCGGGGGCAGCCACCCGAGCTGGTGCCAGCAGTAGGGTGACTCGCTGGAGCCAGAAGCGTAGCTGTTGGTGGGCTGTTAGCCTGGTGGAAGGTGACCTCTCTCCTTCAATAAACCCCCTCCCATGGGAGCTTGACCAGGAAGGTCCAACCTGTAGTTGTAGGGTGAAGGGATAGTTGATCAACTATAGGTTTACATTGTCGGTAAATTCAAGACATTTCTGGACTACCAAGTAAGATACATTTATAGCCATACATATCTCAACACACAAAAAAGGAAAGGGGGCAGAAGGCTGGCTTCTCATAAGTTCTTACAGCATTCCTCTATGTTACAATTTTTGACTAACCCCGCAATTGTTGTGTTACTCCTCTCCAAATTCCAGGTTTTTTCCTCTACCATCCCATTTACCAGTTTCGCTGACGCGTGGGTGGATTTCTCTGCTCTCCATTTACGAGCCATCTCTGCATACTTCTCTTTTTCATCCTCAGTCAGCAACTAGGAATAAAAAGTTGTAACGTAAGTTATTTTCCGACCCTTTCCTTCTAGCAAGACAAACTTGCTCCAGAATCCAGCAAACTCTTACAAGAATAACTATTCTTTGGCTTGGAGTAGGTGAGATACAGCAGTTATAGAGTTGACCTAGGCCATTACATTACATACCATATAGCCTACGAGTGGAGAGAGGAAGTGCAGAGAAAAAACAGTGTGGAAATACATCTTTGGGGGCAGGATGTGAGAGCTGGATGTATGCCTGCGGGCAAGGTGCAAGAGTTACACAATGTTCTCCCATGTAAGAGAGGAGACACACACACACCAGCCATGGGTGTGTGTGGGAGATGCATGGAAGGAATGTACAACCAGGGTTGTGGGTGTGTGGGAAGGATGCACAGTCAGGGTTGGAGGGTGGGTTATCCATACCCAGATTTGGAGGGGGGAGATGCACACCCAGAGTCAGGTATGGGAGGGAGAGGATACGCACCTGAGGTTGGGGGGAGGGATGTGTGTGTGTAGTGCGTGGGGGTTGGGGCAGATAGTGAGGGTTAGGAACTAAAGGTTGGACTGTGTGTGTGTGTGTGTGGGGGGGAATTCAAACAGAGTTGCAGTGCAGGTGTGAGGAAAGAGATGCACACCCAGGGGTGTATGTGTGCGTGCACACCACGGGGGAGGAGGGAGATGCACACTAGAGGAGAGCATGCAGGGGCCATGCATGGCAGGAGTTGGGGGCACGCGAGTGCAGGGGGAGTATGCACGCCCGGGGTTGGAGGGTCGGTGTGTGTGTGGGGGGGTGCTAGATCTGTAGCCACGAGTTGAGGGGGAGGGGGCTCTGGCCCACCCCTAGGGAGGCCGGGGTGCGGCCCGGCCCCCGCTCACCTCCCAGTCCTGCGAGCAGAGCGGGATGGCGTCGGGCACGCGGGACACGGGCAGGCCGCGCCGCTGCAGCTCGGGCAGCTTCTCAAGCACGAAGAAGTAGTAGGCGTTGCGCGCGCCCTTGCGGTTCGGCATGGCCGGGCCGGGGTGTGGGCGGGGGGAGGGAGGGAGCAAAGCCGCGTGAACGGCGCTACCCCGACGTAGAAACCGTCGCAACGGCCTCCGAAACGCGGCCACTCCCTCTCAGCCCCGCCTCCTCCGCGAACGCAGAACCAATCATATCGCTTAGCAACGCGCGCGCGCACACAAGGACCGCCCCGCAAGGAGCCACGAGGCGGCACGTGCGCCTCGCTCCTGTTGGCACGTGAGCGCGGAAGCCTCAGCGAAGCTCGCGGGCTTCAGAGAGACAAGTGCGACGCTAGTCGGAGACAATGCCTTTTCGCCCCGGGGCACGCTGGGACTTATAGTCTCAAAAGGCGGCTCAGAACGACGGGCCGCAGAGCATGCTGGGAGCGGTAGTTCTTCTGCTTGGCTTCCCCAGACCCCGCGAGGCCAAGGGAATGTGCCAGCAGAGGCTGCTTCTTGTGCCCAGTGGGGGCGCTGCGGGGCGAGTGTGCATGTACATGCAGCATGAGGGGGGCGGGGCAAGGAAAAGCGACTTGGTCCAGGGGGACTAGATCAGTGTTTCTCAACCTTTTTTTATAAAGTACCCCTTTTTCAAAAAAATTAAAAAAATTAAAAGTACCCCCAGTACCTGCAGTTTTCAGACGCACACATTTTTTCTACTATTGCAACACATTTGTTTAAACAACTTAATTGTAGCTGGGCGGGTCATTAAATTTTTGGGTGCAAAAAGTACAAAAATAATAAAATGCTGTAAAATTTAAAACAAAAATTCAGTTTTCTCCAAATTTCAGTTGTGTTGCTGTACCCCCCTCATACCACTGGTTGAGAAACACTGGACTAGACTATCCCTTCCACCTGCGGTGGGTGGGGAAAGCACGAGCCTGGGACTCAGAGGCCTTGATAGTTGCTGTGCCCTGGTGGCTGCACTTTTTGTGCCAGTGCCCGAGCTGCTTTCCATGCACAGCCTGCACCTCTGTCCCTGGGTCATTGCAAAGGGAAGCTGCCAGCTATGTTTGTGTGAGGGGGGAGGGTCATTGATGGAGCAGGAGCTGCCTGAGAGGGTAGCTCTGAAAGGAGTCAACTGTTCCATTGGCTCAGTGGGGAATTAACTCCTGTAAGGAGCAACACAAGGTTAGGCTGAGTACCAGCGAAAGCACTTTCCCAGTCCAGCTGAGTATTGTAAATGATTGCAACTGCAGGCTGAACAATGCTCACTTGATGGTTACCTAAAAGAGGCAGGACATCAATGAGGATACAGGAGCTTCTAGGCTGCTGAGGCTGGAAACAGCTGTCACAGATTTTCCAGTGAAACCATTAGAAAGTCACACAGCCTCTCTGGATAAAATTCTGCAAGGTGCCTAATATCTCAGTTGCCCTCCTGTAGATACATATAAGTACTGTGTATTAGCTATAGCTGTCTGCAAGAGGAACACTATGGGTTTATTTAAAGAATCTCATTAATAGTCAAATATGGAATCTTCTTTCTTTCTTTCTTTCTTTCTTTCTTTCTTTCTTTCTTTCTTTCTTTCTTTCTCAAGCAATAACATATGGATTGCACACTATACCACTGTATAATAGTTGTACTGGGAATCAAATGCATGACTCTGAAAGTTCCACTCCCACCCTATGTGTGAAATTCCAATTGATTCTAGGGAGACAATCAGGCTCTGGGCCCTCCCCTCAAAATGACAGCTCTTTCAGAATTTCGTTTTCTCCTTCTCCCTCAACATAACACCCTTGAAAGTCTCTATACTCCACCATTCACAGTTTAACCCAGATTAAAATACAGAATCTATGCACTCAATATAGTTTTGATAATTTTTTTTGTCATTTTGGAAGTGAAAGTGACCTGCTTCCACTTTATGTTACTAATTTCTTCCTCTCTCAAAAGCTTGTGCCCTTCATTTGCAAATTAGAATGCAATTGCAGAGTCCTAGACGTGTAGGTAATAACAACAGACATTACCTCACTCATGTCTCTCTAACAACGATAAATACTTTCTTCCACTTTTAGCTCACTAGGACACTATGCCTCTTTGTTTCAGTGGAGGATCAATCTAATTCATTCATTCATCACCTTCAGATTGAATTATTGAAGTTTACTATATTTTGAGGCTGAAAGTGGAGGCTATTACACAGAGCCAGATCTTTGGCCTGGTTATGTATGCAGCCACTGGCACAGCACGTGTGAATAGAGTGCCCTCATTTCAATGGTATGGGGCTAATTTCCTTTTGGGGGCCATTACAGATGGCCGAGCTTAGAAGGGCATGACGGCTACTCCTGAAAATAAGCGGCAGAACGGTGCTTGCTCAAAAGCCCCTTGTGCAAAATGACGGCTCATTAAGTATGCAAATGAGGCATGGCGATATTCATCACCGCACCTCATCTGCATATGTTCTTATACAAGACTGGGCAATGTAGACATCGTCTCAAAGTTTTTAGGTCTTGTATTGACATTCTGTGTGGCTTGAGTACAATGAAAACTAATTTTAAAAAATGTTGCACTGGGAGCAGCCATTTTATGTCTGTGGAGAAAAAAAACAAGACTCGCAGCTTTATTGGTGATCTTGAGCCAGTGTGTTATTTTAGGTGAGAATCTTAAATTCCCCCTGAACAGCAGCAAAGAATCATATGACTGTGGCCCCTGAGAAAGAACTACAGGGAGGGCAGAAAATTATAGAGAAAGGCAATTAAGTGGTTTTGAAGTACCCACCAAAGAGAGTAGATTTTATAAAAAATCATATTATAAAATCTATCGTCTATAGTGCTAAAAATGTAGAGATTTTCCATTCACAATGAAACCTTTGTTATCCGGCACTCTTTAACCAGAAAACTTTGTTAACCGGCATTGCCGCCAGCCACAATACTGTCACATCTTCAGGTGCACAGGCCTGGCTTGGTTTACCATGATTAGCTTAACAATTTTTTATTTAAGAAGTACTAATCATCTTTAACTCAAAATAGAAATGTGAGACCAACTGCCTCACATTACAAAACTACCAATATTAAAAACCTGAGTTTTACTATTATTGTCCATTGGTTTTTCCTAAATTGATGGGGGCCCTCAGATAAATGGAATTTTTAGAGCATGCCAGATAACACAGGTTTTACTGTAACATACTGAATTCCTTGTTACTGCAAATGGGAAATAGTTTCAGTGTATCCACAGTACCTTCTTTCCTGAATTTGATCAGAAGTAAAAACTTCACATTATTATGCCATCAGATGGAGCCAGACAGCCCAGGAAAAAAACTTATACAAAGATTATGCATGTACTTAAATAATGTTTTACTGTGAAGCTGCCAGTGATTTTGAAGAGATTCCAATTTAATAGAAGAAACCAAGAAAAGGAAGAAAGTTTCACAATTCATAGTTGTTTGAACAATGCAAATCTGACACTGTATTAACTAACACCTTTTGTGAACTGCCAGTCTCTAGTCTATGTATTGAAGCAATGTATGTATTGTCTAGTGGTTTAATCTGGCCTCAAATCCCAGAATACTGCTGAAATAAAAATTTCTATGGAAATTGCTGCAAGGAGAACCTGAAGGGTTTAATGGATGTGCAAAGGGCATAAAAAATGTGTGCAATTTCCAAGAACAATGTCAACAAGTGGATCATACAGAATTAAAGTGGTGGTGTAAAGATGTCAGATGCCAGCAGTGGGTTAAAAAGAGGTATGTCTGTAACCAGAAGAAATGACAGCTAGAAAGACCGATACTGGAAACTGAGGAAAGGCTAATGAGGATTAGTACCAGTACCATGGGACTTAGAACATAAATTAGCTTATATATAGTCATTAATGTTCACATAATTTTGGGTGACTCCATTATTTAAAAGGATAGCTATTTCAGATAGAGTTGCAGTATATTTTTTATAGCAGATATAGTGTCTCATGGTGTGATATTCTTCTACCTAAATTTATCAGAATTGTTCTGGGGACATATCTTGGAACTGAGGAAACTTTTGGGAAAGAGGAAGTCTATACAGGAAGGATGGGCTCCACCTAACTAAAAATGGAAGCAGATTGCTGGCACCTAAAATTAAGGTCATAGAGCAATTTTTAAACTAAGTGCTGTGGGAAAGACAATTGGTGTGGAGGAGCACATGGATTGGACAGAGACATCTCTTTGGGGAGGATCTATTAATGGAGATTCTCTATGTCCTAATAAGAAGGAGAGGATGGATGATGATAAAATATAGCTGAAACAAAAAACAGGACTATGTAGCACTTTAAAGACTTACAAGATGGTTTATTAGGTGATGAGCTTTTGTGGGCCAGACCCACTTCCTCAATTTGGCCCACGAAATCTCATCACCTAATAAACCATCTTGTTAGTCTTTAAAGTGCTACATAGTCCTGTTTTTTGTTTCAGCTACACCAGACTAACACTGCTACATATCTATTATTGATAAAATATAGGTAAGCTCAATGAGAAACAGGACGATAAGGATGATAAGGCAATTGCAGGGAAACTAAATTAATTCTTTGCATTGGTCTTTGTGTCTGAGGGACAATCCCAAACCTGAGCCATTATTTTTAGGTGATGAAATCTGAGGAACTGTGCCAAATTGAGGTGTCATTAGTAAATAATTGGAGGACAGCTAATGTGATGCCAATTTTTAAAAAGGACTCCAGAGGTGATTCTGGCATTTACAGGCCAGTAAGTCTAACTTCAGTACCAGGCAAAGTGAAACTATAAGTAAAGAACAGAATTGTCAGAGACACAGATGAACATAATTTGTTGGGGAAGAGTCATGATTTCTGTAAAGGGAAATCATGCCTCAACAACAGAACGATGGAGTTTAAATTAGCTGTTACCGTTCAAGAGAAAGATCTTGGAGTCATTGTGGACAGTTCTCTGAAAACATCCACTCAGTGTGCAGAAACAATCAAAAAGTAAGCAGAAGAGATACATAATAAGAGGATATCATATTGCCTCTATATAAATCCATTTTGAATAATGTGTGCAGATGTGGTTGCGGCATCTCAAAAAGAGATATTGAAATTGGAAAAAGTTCAAAAAAGAAGAATAAAAGTGATTAGGGGTATAAAACGGCTGCCATATGAGGCAAGATTAATAAAACCAGTTTGGGAAAGAGATGATGTGGGGTGGGATATGATAGAGGTCTGTAAAATCATGACAGGAAAAGTTATTTACTCCTTTCCATAACACAAGACCTAAGAGTCACCAAATGAAATTAATAGGCAAAAGGTTTGAAACGAACAAAGGGAA